GCTGTATGTAAGGAAGCAAACTGCCACATTTTTCACTCAGACTTCACCCAGAATTTATCCTGCCAGCCCCCTAATGTTTTTTCTGAAGAAAGTCAGTGTGAGATGAGAACGCAGCAGGATGTAATCAGGAGAATTCCCCTCAAGAGAGAGAGAGAGAGAGAGAGAGAGAGAGAGAGAGAGAGAGAGTGGGGAGGGGTGGTGATGTTTAGATCCTGTGACTGCTGTATGGTCACTGTAAACGCGAGATCACTAATGATATAAAGGAAAATATTCTCATTATAGCATCTTATAGCAGATTCAGTTGCTTCGTCCGCTACCTCCCGCATAATTTTTTTTAACATTATGCCCCCTGCTGCGTTCACACATCAACTCACCTTGACGTCTTGCAGAAAATGTACAAGAAGACTGACAGAAAAAACGTTTTTCGCTGTGAGGTGCATGTGTGAACAACTTCATTAACTTGTGTTTTCATGAGCAGCCTGTCTGAAAATTTCAAGAAATTTTGAAGTTCATGTGTGAAAATATGTGTTTGAACACTTTTAAGGACTGCATGTGTAAAAACACCTAAAGAGAATCTTGCTGCAACTTCTGGGACAATGTTTATGTATAAAACACAAGAATTCAAATCAAATCAATTATGCTGCAAAAAAGAGCTGCTAAAACCAAAACAAGTATGTTCACAGGAAATGCGTTGCAAAAACAGAAGCCTTGCAAAAGAAAAAAAAAAACAAGAGTGCAGAGTCTTCTGAGAGCAGTGCGAAGCAGGATTTCTGTGTAACATATTCAATACAGAGACTTGTTTAAGTTTTCCTTCTGACGTGATCCCTGCATTCCCGATCCTGTTCACCACTCACTCACACCCAGCAGAACTACACTGAATGAAATGAATGATGCCTCCAGAAGGTTCCCGCTCCTCTGCCCCTCTCTGCAGAATAATAATAGAAAGGTGGAATGTCTCGATCGGCATAAACTGTGAATTTTATGAGAACTCGTGTAGCTGACCTGATTGACAGGTGGGCGCGGTGTAACGGTTTGTCAGGAGGTTTAAAACCCGCCTCAGCTCCAGCTCTCAGTCTGCCGTTTGGTTGACTGAAAGTTAGACTGAGACAGCATTTCCAGCATGGAGAACGCCATTGATGGGACTCCAGCACCCCCTGCAGGAACAGATGGGTGACATCACTCAGGCTTCAAACATTCATATTTACAGTCTATGGGTCTGCATGCACCATCGGATGAACACAGAGTACACGTTACACCTCCTCTTTCTGGAAACATTCGGCATGGGTTTGGTTTCATAGAAATAAAAATGGATTGATTCGTGGCACTCAACAAGAACTCGCTTTTCAAAATCACCATTCAAATGCACTTCAAATGCAAATGTACATCGTATGCTTTCTGTGGCTTTATCCAGATGCTGAGGAGCAACATCTGGATGCAAGAAGCGGACATATGGAGACATCCTCTTAAAGACAGGAAGACAGGAAGTGTTGGGCTTCTGCAGACTGGCTTTGATTTTAAGAAAAATATTAAATCAAATTATCAGATGAAGTCCAAGTTGTCCTCCAATGAGTGCAAACATGTCCAAGCAAGATGAGATAAGATCCCCTTTGCTCCACAATCTTCATGCCAAACATTTAGAAAAATGTAGCACATTTTTATTTTTGGACTGTTTTTGTCTTAAAACGTGTGTTTTTTCCGTGGAGACAATCAGAAGTGGAGGCACATGAAACACAAAACACACACTCTCTTGGGGGGGGGGGCAGGAAACATGTGAGCTGCATATGGGATCCAAGGAGGACTTGGCAGACAGATACACACACACACACACACACACACAGAGACACACACACACTCATAATGCAGGATAGATTGAAGCTCTTCCAGGACACACAGGACTTGGCCCTCTCAGACAACGTGTCACAAGGAGTCAAATTAGACGTGTCAGCGGAGTGAACTGGGACTTTCCTCCAGGAATCGACAGTCAGGAATCGACAGTGACGCTCGGGTCAATCTCAACAGTAATTTGTAAACTCGACTGGAGAATCAAGTTGTGTGGATCTCTCTATCACTGTTACACTTTCCTGGCAAACGCACAGGACCAAAGAGGAAGAAGGGGGGGGGTATCTCTCTACTGTATCAGTGTGTCACATTTCCAGTCTGCGTTTGAACCTGTGATTTACGGGTTCTTGGAGTCAGGTATCTCTCAGGTCAGATGGCTCGTGATATGACGGACGAGTTACACAAGAAGGAGAGCCGCTTCTCAGAATTAAGACCATCAAACACTACTATAAGACACCTGAACCAGTCGTCTTTGTCAGGCAGAGTAACAGAAGTGCCAAAACTGCAGTTCCTCAAATGGCCACTTGAGGCTGACTCCAATATTGAGAAAATCCACATAGAGCCCCATGTTAAAATGGCCAATCTTACAGCAGGAAAAAAAATATGTTTACAGCCTGGTACAACAACAGTTTGGGTCTCTAGAGCTCTTTTCATGAAATTATGTTAATTAGGGGGCGTGGCCTCTTTGAGTGACAGGTGGGAGCTGCTAGCTGTCTGCTAGGTGTCCCCTCAGATAATTCAGTGCCTGACCTTTAACCTCTGGGCCGTGTTTGTGCTGTTGGAGTCTTTTGGAGATTTGTTCATGTAAATATCAGACTAATAATCTGTCTCTCTCTGTGAGCTTTATCAGACTAACATACCGTCCAACAAGTCTGAGCTCTACTCTTAACAACAACTCACATTAGAACTTTACTTTATTTACACGTTAGCAACAATTAGCAGTTATCTTAGTCTGTGGGAAACATACCTACATAGCTCATTCAGTGTTTGTCAGTTTTATAGGTTTAAGTTGTTGTTCTCTTTTCACTCGCTCTCGATGCTTCTTTATTTTTTTGCTAGCTAATGAATGAGGCACACGCTCAGACGGTTTAGTTTTCAGAGCTTAGCAATTGCTAACCTCTTGTATCTCTCCAGCTCATCAAAATATGTTAATTTCTGACAACAACAACAACAACAACAAAAAACAAACACACACAAAACAAGAGTGCTGGTACAACGGTAGCCTAGCAGTTATGCTATGTGCATTTAAGTTGGTTAGCTTGATGCTAACACATAACAGATTTTGCCATTAACGGGCTAACAGAATTAGCATTATAATTAGATTGTTTCTTCAGTTTAAAATATGCTGAGTTCATTTCATAGCTTCTCTACAGTCTGTAACTGTTCAGTTGTGTCATTGGTCAAAAGTTTAATGGCATGTGGGCAGAATGAATCTAGCCCAAATGTTCAGCAAATCAAGGGGGTGGGCCATGACACCTGTCAATCATTTACACTACAGAAGTACTATGAGGAGGATGCTACATGCTCGGGCTGTAAAAACTATTAGGTCTTGTTAGTTCCCTACGTTCCAACAAAATGAAATACAGTAGGTTACTGGAAGAATAATTTTCTACACTTGTAATAGAGGTCTTAGTCCAGTTTGGGCTGAACAGGCCAAGGGGTGTTGGGCTGTTGGCTTGGTTATCTCCATCAGGCTATTTTTACAGTCTGTCACCTCAGGTGCCCATGGCATGCGCCGAGTTTTCTAGGTGTGCTGTACAGACACAACCCCACAAACAAATAGCATTGTTGGACAGATATAGACCCTGATGAGTTACTGTCATGTATGAGGAGCCAGCTGCTGCTCGCTCATGACTCAGAGCGGAGATGTAAGCGGGTCCATTCGACTCTACGACCGCCTGGACTCAGTTTAGCATCATGGGAACTGCTGATAGCAGCTGGGGTACCGCAGGCTGACACGAGGGTTCAGCTGAGTCGATCCAGGCTGTGGGTGGTGGGTGGAGAGGATTGGGGGGGGGGGGGATCTGTCAGTCAATCTGCAGCCAACCAGATGTAGGAAGTGACCTGATGGGGGCTGTGTTTGTGGGGGACCTGGGAGTGGACTCAGCTGGGTGGTCTCCACATCCGTCCTCTGTCATTGTACAGAGTGAGGAGGAAACAGGCTGATGTAACAGAGCCCCCTGCTGGTCACACAAAAAACTGCGTCTCCCCACAAATAATCAGAAAAATTACAGCAAAAGCAACAATTTGTGAGTTCGTCTTAAGAATATTAAATCTTTTGGAAAAGACAAACATCAACTTACTAACCTGGATTCAATAAGAATTCAATTTTTAAAATAATGTTTTGAATATTTCATGTAAAAGATGAAAGGCAAAATAAATGTATTTGGACATTATGAAGAACATTCATAAACCCTTCTTATCCTCACTCCTGTGTGTTTTTGCAGAAATAGAAACAAACAAAAGTAATAAATATTTCCTTAAGTTTGTAAATGTAGGAAATTTATTCAGCCCAGATTGGCATGAATATAAAATAGTTCAATGGCACTAAACTATGTGAATTTAATCCAATATGACGGACATTTGCCTCCTTACAGTTTATAAGAACATGTTTAAATAACACAAAAATAATCATTTATAGTAACAAAGTGTCTTTCATCAACATCCTCTTGTTGTTGTTGTTTTGTTTCTGATTTGCAGCCAAATCATTTCTGATACTTCAGATTTAAAAAAAGGTCAGATGTGTTTTTAATTTTTTTTTATCCAATCAGCGATGTGCACTCCTCGATGAAAGCCCGAAGCAGGCATTCATCCAAACATTTTATTTACATTTTCCTGCAATGTGATATTTTCCTCTTTATCTCTGGATATTAAAGCTTGTCTCCTCGTGATCACAGGATCATTTTTTGTTAGATTCATGTACCGCTCAGGACTTCCGTATACTTCAGGGGTCATATTCATGAAGCCTCTTAAGTACTAAGACACTTCTTAGAATCAAGACATTTTCTAAGAAGTAAGGACTACATCCTTGTAAAGATGAAAGTCATTCACAAAGCATCTTAGAGAGCTCCTCAGGTGTCAAACTGTGAAGAGGAGTGACTCGACTGAAGGTGCCGGCCCTCCTCTGTGCCTCCATACACTCACACAGGTAAAGGTAGGCCAGGTGGGGTGGGGCCTATGGGGGCCATCCTGAGACTTTATTTGAGGATCAGAGGGTGCAGGTGGTCCGGTCAGAGAGCAGACCTGCAGCGATGGCTCAGGTGAAGGCAGCAGGAGACGCAGCAGCGAGGAGCCAGCAGGAGTGTGCAGACGCTTATTCTGATATGATGACCGTGAGCTCCACTGCAGGTCAGAACGACAAATACACTCAAGGATTATTATTTACAAATCTGTTTATTAATATTATTATTAAGATGGAGACAACAGGGGAAGACTGCACGGTTTAAAAGTGACATTAAAGCAGCGTTGGTTCTTCTAGCATTCAAACATTTCAGATTTAAATCTTTGCATGATTCTTTAAACATCTTTTTATTTTTAGAGGAAAACTTTGCAAAGACTTAAAACATTTAAAATCTCTTGAGCTTCAACACAGAAAGGGTCATAAAAAGTCTGCTCAGCTGTGTGAAAGTTCAACTTTTAGCCCTGAAAACATCTGAAAATGAGTCTGATTCAGGCACTGTAGTTCTCTGTAGTAAAATCATCTTTTTTTGGTGAGTTTTGAGTTCAGTTGATTAAGTTTTACTTTTCTAACATGATTCTCACAAACCAGGTTAGCTTGAAAATATAAGAAATTACAGAAAACAATCTTTTTTTTTTACCTGCTCCTGATACTAAAACTGCCCTCTCTCTGAGGGTTTCTACTCTTTATAGCCTTTCATTAGTTACCATCTTCCCCTGGTTTTTATGTATTTGTTTCTGCCATGTTTCTGCACTTCTTTGGGCGGTATGTTTGTACTCGAGGTGCTGTGTTAATAAAGTTGAGTTGACTTGTATTCCTCCCGCGCCTCTCAACAGAGAGGTCAGCTCAGTCCACCAATTTGCCCGATGAGTCACTTTGTTTGATAATCTCTGGTGTAATCCTGCAGCTTCTCGTATCTTTTTCTCACGAGCTCGTCTTCTTCAGCTAAAGCTCTGTCGCTCTCAGGTTGCCTCATGTCAGTGGGAACCAGAAAGTCGTGTAATCCTCCTTTTTGTTTTTTTACCAGCGAGTCATTAGTGAAATGCTCCTTTACTGATTAAAAACACTTTTTTATAATCATTCAGAGGAAGTCAAAAAGTGTATTCAGCGTCTTTTCGAACCCTTAAAGTCTTCTCCTCCCTCCTGAAAACAGATATCGGAGACTCTGTGAGGAGGGGGCCACTGTGCGAGACCTCCATGTCTGTGGGCCTCAGCAGCAGGAGGAGCAGGGCCCTCCACCCCTCCCCCGCCCGGAGACGACACCGCACCTCCTTCAGCCACAAACAGCTGGAGCAGCTGGAGGGAGCGTTCACTCAGAACCAGTACCCCGACATCTACTACAGAGAGGAGCTGGCCCGGGTCACCAAGCTCAACGAGGCCCGCATACAGGTGAGAGGGGCGGGGTCTCTTGGCCCTGAGCTGCCACCTTTAACACACCCGGGCTCCGTTTATGCGAGCTCGCCAAGGATCAGGTTCTCCTACCTTTGTTTTGTCCGCCAGCTGCCATTATTTCTCCTCCTCCAAAATCCACTGAGTTGCTTCCTCTGACATCTCTCTTACTGTCTCAAATACTATGTCCACTCACTCCCAGTTCTCCCAGTAATGATGAGATAACTAAAGGTGCTATGAACGCTCTCCATCCTCACAAAGCCTTCTCTTCTTAAAGTCAGTGTGTGCAAAAGTGGCTCGATTGAAAAATGAGCGTGGCTTCAGTCCAAATGTTTGATCAGAACATGATGAAACGGCGTCCTCGCCTGAGACAATCACTGCTGGTCTCCCTGATGTTCATCAGTTCAGTGTGAGTAAATGCACAGTAAAGTAATCTTCATTTCCTCTCACCGGTCTCCTGCAGGTGTGGTTTCAGAACAGACGAGCCAAACAGAGGAAGCAGGAGCGCGCCTCGCAGAAACTCCTCCCAATGGGTATGATGGGAGGCCACAGGGGGCTTCTAGGAGGCGTTCACATCCAGCAGTCAAGCATGAGTCGACAGTTTTACCCCCAACCCCTCGCTCACCTCCCCTGCCTCCCCCCTATGATACCCTCTGGGCCGTACCCTCAGTGCCCCTGCCCCGGCAGCGTCCCTCCAGCAGCAGCAGCCCCGCGGCAGCATGAGGACTGGTACAGCCCGCTGAGGACCAACATCCAGTCCTCCATGTTCTCCCTGCAGCCTCTGGAGCCCCCCCCTCACTGGAGCTAAAGAGTAATCCTAATAAACATCACTTTAATCCTCACTTTTTGGAAGTCATTGCACTTATTTACATACTTAGAGATAGTTCTCTAAAGGAATATTAGACACAAATGTTTTAAAATGTCTCTGGTAGATTTCCTCAGCGTGCAGGAGAGAAACAGGCTGTCATGGCTGCAATGTAATTCTTAATCCATCAAAGTGCATGCACGAAAAGTTCATTTCTTTGTCCCTTACAGACTCAGATTGTTATTCTAAGAGTCCGACAGCATTACAGATAGGATCCCTGCAGAGAAAGACCTTTTAAAAACCAGGGTCCACAGCAGCAGGGGCCGCCCCACCAACGATCCAGAGGAACCTACGAGAGCTCAGGAGCTCCCAGGAAATGATGTGGTCAGTAACTAAGATTTACAGATAGTGACATGCAGTAATATGATGTGAATGCACAGAGAGAGAGTTCCCCCGGTAGTCTAAGCCTATGGCAGCATAGGAGCTGGTCTACACCTGCGCCAGCCCTAACTGTAAGATTTATCAAAAAGGAAAGTTTTAACCCTTCTCTTAAAGGTACAGTGTGTGTCTGCCTCCTGAACCCTGACTGGTAGATGACTCCAAAGGAGAGGGGTCTGAAAAGAAGGCTCTACCTCCCACAGCAGACAATATTCAGGAAAATTCACTGCAAGGAAGCGGGAGGGCTCGATGACGTCCTTCGAGCTCCATGCTCCATGCTCCATGCTCAGGCAGATCTCGAGTCTCCCCTCTGCCCTGCAGTCAGTCCATCCTCCCAGACTGACAACATCCTCTTCCATCATAATCATTATCTCAACATACATTCATCTGTCTCATCATTCATATCATCTATCACTAAATAAAACACATGTTGTTGTGATGTAATTTGAAGTTCTTTGAAGAGAGTGGTGCAGTGATCCGTTTTTTTTTTTTTTTTTAAATAAAAAAAATAAAAAAAAGATTTCTGGAACAAAAAGCTCTCTCTCTGCAGGGATCATTTCTGTGAATAACAACCTGAGCCTGTCAGCAACAAAAACAACAAATACTAGAGGCTGATGGTCAGGGATTAAGTTGCTGCCAGTTTCATCTGCAGGCTGCAGAAACACACAGCTCACCAAGGGGAATTATTTCTTTGTTGATAAAAAAACTCAATGGTCTCCTCCTCTCAGTCGTCCACATCACTGTCCGGTTCATCAGTGTCCACTCCTCCTCTGAGCTCGAGGTGGAGGTTCTTCTGTTCCAGATAGGTCTTCTCCGCTGCCTCCCTTTAGCGACGGTCGTCCGACATCTTTGCCCTGCGCTAATCCACCGGCTCCTTGGAAGGTGACTCATCTGACTGGCTCTTCTGTTCAAAGATCTTTGAGTACTTTCCTTCTTGATCGTCTTGATTTGGTCTTATCTGAGCAGTGTGGGAGGTCTATATATATATATATATATATATATATATATATATATAAAAATATGCCCAGGTTTAAAATGAAAGAATCAGAGTTAAATTCGTCCACATGATTTCTCGAGCTCTGTACCTGAACCCTGAATGTTTCAAAAACCTTTTTAGTGCATCTTACAAATCAAACACCTTTCAAAAAGGAGTCTCTGTAAATAAAATGAGAAGTCAAACTGTTGAGATTACGCTCTTTAATATTCACATTCCAGAGACAACACAGTCACATGTCATATGTTCTCACTGTTTTTTTTTAACATTTCATTCGACAACCTGAAGTGACTGAAGAATCAACTCGAGATGGCAAAAATATAGAATTCATCCGTATGAAATCAAACGCTATAAAAGAATCACAGACGGATTCTAGAAGAACAACAACACAAAGATGACATGTTCGATCCACATGTGTTTGAAGGCAGCTTAGAAGCAGAGACAAAGCGGTGTGCTGTGAGCGCCTGCAGCGACTCACAGGCAGCTGTACATTCACTCCATCAGGGGGTGTTAGGACGATCTCTGCTGCCTGAACGTGAAGAGGAAGTGATGGGCTCGTCTGACCGTGATCATGTTCACTGAAACAACAACTGAGCTGCACAAGGGCCTCGTTTCAAACTCCTTTCCTTGCCTCCTTTCCTCCAGACTCATTCCCTCACACCTCAGACACGAGCAGAGGAAAAAGGAGGAGCAAAGAGTCAAGCAGCCAGGCAGGATCTTTCAGTAATTATTGGAATCTTTTCTGGGAGTATTTAACATCAACTTTAGCAGCTCAACCTCTTTAATAAGTCAGAGGTGCTGCAGCGACTTCGACCTCTTCTCCTCGAGACGCATTTAAGGAACTGAAGCATCCTGCACGGTGGGTTTTTATGGTTGTTTTTTGGGGTCAGAAGCAGGAGGAGAAGAGGAGACACACACACTAGAAAAAGGTGTGAAGCCTTCAGTGCTGTTCTGCGTTGAAGCTTGAGCTTCACCTCCTCCCCCCCTGCAGGGTTTCCTCCCCTCTAAAACGCGCTCGTTCACACTGCGAGGGAGTCAAGGCCACTTCACTTTGCAATGAGAAACGTCTGATTCGTCTCTCATCTTCTGTTTGAGAAGATCTCACAGGAGGAATCGTTTGGTCCACACGGCAGCAGCGGCGGCGGCAGTGTGTTCGTGTAAATGTGTCTGTGACTTTCTGTAACGATGCTACTGAAGGCACAGAACACAGGCGAGGAAGTGTCCTGCATGTGTAAAGAGACGATTCACCTAAAAATCACAGAAAAAAAAACAATCAGATTCTCAGTTTGGTTTGCAGAAAGGACGCAGGCGGTTTAGTGTTTCTGTATTTCACCAAACAAAATGAAAAAGAGTTTTTAAGTGATGTTTGGGTGAACTGGCCCTTTAAGAATGAGTTCAAGGACGCTGCAGAAACAGACGGTGAAGTGATGTCACTGTCCTTCTCCTTTCTCCTCGTAAATTACTGAATTATTGAATAATGATCCGCCTCTAACTGAAATCACCACTGATCACTCCGATCGCCTTCGAGGGAGGACGCAAAGATTATACGATGTTTTTTGCGGTCCCACTTCTCTTCCTGCAGGTTCCTTGTCGTCGTCGTAAGAGATGAGAAAGCACTCGGGCGACTCGTTCACTCCAGAGACTTGGCGAACTCTGCGTAGTCGATGTAGCCGTCGTTGTTTTTGTCGTCGTCCTTCAGAACGTCGTCGATCAGACTGATCAGATCCTCCTCTTTCATCGGCTGGCTGTCCTCGCCGCGCTCCTGGAGAATCACAAAACATTCAACACAGATGATTCATCAGCGGTGATAAGACAACGAGCGCTTTGATGCATGGCATCCAAAGGCTTCAGGACAGGTGCAGGTGCCGGAGCATTGAGACATTTTCAGGAGTTTTGTGCATGTGTGAAAACAACAGTCTTTTTAAATCAGGTTCTGCTAATAAAAACTGTTTTATATATTTATGTCCTCGTGCAGCGGTTCTCAAACTTTTCACACTGAGACCACCACAGAAAATATTTGGCTCTCCGAGTACCACCATTATGGCTAACATTGAACAAATGACTAAACTCCATCGGATCTGCAGAGTCCCTCTGCACCTTTAAGAAAAAGCTAAAGACCCAGCTCTTTAATGAATACCTACTAACTTAATGATGATGGTCTCGATATCATTGATGATGATGATGGTAATGACGATGGTTTTTGTTTGATAACGACGACTTATAAGATGGTTTCTATCCTGATTAGAGCTCTCAAGAACTTTGCCTCTGGTCACTTCCTGTCAGCACCTGTGTGTCCAATCAGACTCAAAGCTGATCGTTTGATCTTACTCACATTGTTCCCTTTTTATAGATCCTCGCACGTGTTCTTCTTCCTCTCTGATGTACGTCGCTTTGGATAAAAGCGTCTGCTAGGTGAATTGTAGAATTTCTTCTTTAATCTAACATTTTTGTGGAGTGATTTCTCCCATGATGCACCAGCCAAAGTTCACTAGCAGCTGGCAGTTGGGAATTGATTTAAAAACATACTCACTTTATCCAAATACATTTCTATAGGAAGTACATGCAAGTCATTTGTGATGGAGAAATATCTAAATAAGTTCATTTAAATCTATTTTTGATGCTGTGGCATTCAGTCACAAATATTTACCTGTACTGAAGTTAACAGGCATGTTCACACCTTAAATAATAAAATAGATCTGCACACACACACACACATCCCCACCTCTTTGTGTACGTGTGTGATGGCGGTGGCGAGCTCCAGCCCGTCCAGCAGGTTGTTTCCGTCGTAGTCGTGCATCTTGAAGTAGTGCAGCTGGAGCTCCTGGGGGGTCATCTCTTTCTCCGGTTGGTCGATCACTCCCTCTAAATGCTCCATGATGTGGCTGCAGGACAGACAACCGTGAAAGAGTGTGTGAACGCTGTGTTCAAAGTTCATCCCTCTGTGCAAATAAGAGCTGGATCAAGGGGATCTCCCTCTGCGGGCGGGGACGTCACTCACTCTTTGTCCTGGATCATGTTTTTGTCGAGACGACCGTGAGCGTGACCCGATACTGCGGACGCCACCACCGTCTCCTGCTGCTGCAGAGGATCCACCTGAGAGAGAACGGACACACAGCAGGAGAGCAGGAGGAGGAGGAGGAGACCCCACCACTGTAACCTGCACCTCCTCATTCTGCAGACACACACACACACACACACAGATAAATAAATTAGAGACCTGTGTTCTTTCTGAAAAAAGTTAATCCATAGCTCCCAGTGTTGTAACTAAATAACCGACCGATCATTCATGTTCCAAACAGAGGCAGAGAAATAAGTCGATTCATTCATCTCAGCAGGGTTAGATTACTGTGACTCTCTGTATCCAAACATATGTCAGACAACTGCAACTTATCCAAAACTCAGCAGCGGAGCCCTGACACGTACAAGACAATGTGAACATATAACCCTGGTCTTCAAATTAACTAAACTCTGTTTCCTGAATCTGATTGTTTAAATAACGTATTTCTGGATTTTTTTTTACTCTCAAAAGTAAAGCACACTGAGGTCACCTCAAATTAAATGCGCTTTGTAAATAAACTGTCTTTTTTTTTTTATAGATTACAGGATTTATTTCCCCCATAAGAGCTGCTCTTTCATAACCACTGTGCTAAACACAGAGGAGACACCATTCAGCTACGTTTGTAAATCAAACCTGTGCAAATAAAGAATCTAAGAGATATAGATGATTAAATAAAGGATAAAGAGACATAATCAGGCTGTATACAAACATCAGATGGAGCTTTTTACCATGGGCACTTTGAGGAAACTTAACTGAGATAATTAAAGTAAACACCGGTAACGGAAACATATGCTAACATAGAGGCTGTCTGTAATAAGATCTTGCCAGCTTGAAGCTTCACTGTAAGACTAAGTTACGACATATTAGACACAAACCATAGAAGACGATCAATAATATAAATATTTAAATAATTATAAATTAAAGCTTACGTGTAAATGATTGGTATTCGCGGACCGTTGTGTTGAAATCTTGGCTGTCTGGAAACGAGTCTGATCAGTCACAAGCTTTCAGGACCGAGCGGCTTCCCGTAGCTCCTCTTGGACACGACAGCTCATTGTGATTGGTTAAAACATTTCAAAGAGTACACAACTGAAGCGAGAGAGTTCACCGCTGCGCGCACGAATATCTCTCCACACCGACGACGTTAGCGGGGCGGGCTACTTTTAGCTTTCCAAGAAACATTTCATACTCATTGTGTACTTTGTAAAGTTTTCACGTGATGACGAACAAATACAGCCACAAACCTAGAATGACTCTCAGTTAGTTCAGGTGAATTTGTCGAACGTTTTAATTCCCTCTTGGGAAAATAAAACTCTTAGCTAAGCTAACATTTAGGTTTTTTGACAACATTTCTGCACTCTGGTGCCTTGTACTTCTTTAGCCACTTCTACGGTGGCCCTGAAGTGCATTATGGCCGCTATGTCTTTTTAAATTCAGTCTTGGAATATGCTTTTGCCTTGGAGTAGTGTACAGTGGCCCTGAAGTGTGAAGCACAACGACAAATCACAAAACACACAAGAAATAAGAAAACACAACAACATTAGCTTCTAACGGAAAAGGTAATAGGCACCAGAGGTTGACAAGGATCGTCGCTGATTGGACCAACGCCTTGTCCGTCTTTTTAACCGGAAGGATATGCTGCTTTCGTTATAGTGATGTGAAAAGCAGTTCTTTTCAGTGTACTGAATCAGTTCAGTAAAGTGATTCGTTCAAAAGATTTGTTCACAGAATCGTTCAGTACTTCTCTGCAGCTCTGTCTGTGAATCAGAATTTAATAATCTGAAACACGGCCGAACGTTTAGTTCTGCTCGCGATCGTACTGAGAACAGCCAGTGGTGAATAATAAGCCAATGAGCTGAGAATTTAGTTGGATAAAGCCACAGTTTGCAAACTGAAAGCTGCTAAAACAATCACATTTATTTCCCCCGACCGTTCCGCTCCGCTCCGCTCTTCCTCTCAGTTCGTTCAGTGAACGTGAACGAGCAAGACTGCGAGTCACCAGCCTCAGTCACACACACACACACACACTGTACTGACTGAAACACGATCGTTAGTGGATGTTAAAACACTCAGCTGAGTGAAATTAAGTTGGATATAAAAGCCGTTTGTAAACTGACTGCAGCTATAAAAAGTACAAACATTTTCGCGACACCTAAATGTTGAATAATATATTTGCTACTTCCTCAATTTTGGAGACATGAGAGAAGTAGGGGCGGGCTTTAGCGACACAGAGCTCCCGACCGACTCTGTCCTGTTGGTTCAGTCAGTACGTATCACTGACATGAAAGAGAGAGGGAGGGCGGGCTTTGAGCGACTCTTACGGTCTAGAGAGAGACGAGACGGGAGAGAGGAGAGCGCAACTGAAGTTGAGAAATGAACGACTCTTTTCACTAAGTGATTCAGTTCAGTTCGTTCACCCAGATGATTTGTTCGTTTTGAACGAATCGTTCATGACCGACACATCACTATTTCGTTAACTTTTCTCTGTCTGGCGCCAAAGGAATATGAAGCATTTACTTCCTGTAAAAAAGACAGACATTGCGTTCATCCAATCAGCGACAATTATTGTTGACCGCAGGTACCTTCCTTTTCTGTTATTGTTAATGTCTGTGTTTCTTAGTTGTTGTTGTGTTTTGCAATATGTCATTGTGCTTTGCACTTCAGGGCCACCGTACACCAAGGCAAAAGCATATTCCAAGAGTGAATTTAAAATGGTAAAATTTCAGTTGAGTGCCATAATGTCACTTGAGGGACCCCTCTTTGCAGGGGCTTTCTTGGTTATTGCATCTGCGTCAACTTTATTTGCCAGGTGTCGCCTTCACGTACAAATGTGACTTTGCTTTCATTTGCTCTCTGTACAAGCATGAATCATTGGATGTTATACTAGTGTAAACAAGGCAATACAACAAAATAAACAAATCACAAAATTCAAACTGAAATGACAAGAAATGCAATAAAAGTAAATATAAATAATTAAATAAAAGTAATAGAAGTAAATTTTTGTTAAAATCAACCAGAGGTCATCAGATATCTTCAGTTCATAAAACTCTCTGAGAAGAGGTTTCGCATTTCTCCCAGGGTTAACTATCTTGACAGGAAAAAAAACCTTGAGGTGAGTCTTTGATGACGTCGGCAGGGGGGCGTGACGCAGCCGCTGTCAAATGTAAACTGAGCGCAGGAGCACGCTGTGTTAGTGTGCTGGAGTTCACTGAGGAAGAGGAGGAGAGGAGATCTGTGTGAAAGAAATGTCCAGCTTCCAGAGAGAAAATGAAGCCGCTAAATCTCTGTTCAGGAGGCTCGAGGTGGATTTTCTGTCATAAAGTAGCTCAGTAGTTTTTGACCCTCGTCTCTCCCTGTATTACCCTCTGTGCTCGTGCCTCCACCTGTGAAGATGTACTTTCCCCTCCCACTTTTCTAGAGCTCAAACTTAAAAGGAGATACTTGTATATTTGTCGCTGTAGTGCTTCATACGGCTCTCACAGTGCAACATCTGACAGAAGAGTTCTTTTTATATGAGACATGGAGGAGGCATTCATCTCAATGTGCTGCTTACAGACTCGTGCAATACAAACTTTTAACAGGCACTCTATCGAAAGGTTTTAAGAGAACCTTCTCCATATGAATAGTGTGTGTTTTGGTTGCTCGCTTTGCAGCAGCAGAGCGCAGCTTTCTGTGAAATGTCGCTTCTTAAGCCTTTAACCTGATCCAGTTAAAGTGTTAGAGGGAAAGATTAAGGACATGGCTTCTTAGAAGGAGGATGACACCTTGCTTCCCTTTTACTTCTGGCAGCCACAGATCAAAAACTCTCGCTCGTTTTTGAAGAAACCCACACAATCTCTCTTAGTGATATGAGCGTGTATTTTAAAGTTCTGCTGAATGTACGGACGAAAATAACGATTCTTGAGTTATTTAGATAAGTTTTCTGATTATTTTATTTTCTATGTCTGTGAAGTTTCTTGTTCTAAATCCACTCTGATCCTGTATTTGATCATGCCTATCAACCCCTCTATTTCAGCCCTGCTCAGAACAGACTGTTTCTGTGTCTGTACCTTTAAATATGTAAATGAGCTGTGTCTGACCACGCCCCCTCTCTGGAAGGACTTGGGTGGCTCGGGCTTGCTTGCTCCATGTCCTATTGTTTACGTTGAGAAGGCAGACTCAGAGGGCAGAACAAACACCTAGCTGTGGGAGTGTCACCCACCTGGGGGAGGGGTTACTGCCCTTTGTGATGTCATGAAGGGAAAATCTCCAAACGGCCTGTTTGAGCACACATTTTCTGACAAGTGGAGCAGGTAAAAGACGGAGAGGATGGACTTTTCTCATCATTGGGGGGTTTGTAGACAGACTAGAGACACATATTAGTGTTAGAGAAATATGTGGAAGTGTAGTTTACATAATATGTGACCTTTAAGATAGCCAAGAAAATGATTTTAAAGATATTCGGTTATGACTCACCAAGTTGTTAAATTGAGATCCTCATTTATCTGTCAATATTTTCTGATCAAACTCATTATTTTGAGCTGCTCTGTCAATATTTGAACATACTATCTATGTACTCGCTATTTTTAGATAGCTTGTATTCTTTGTTGTTGAAAAAAACAAAGGCTTTGTTTTTTGTTAAGTGTCTTTGAGTACCTAGAAAAGTGCTTTAAATGTCTAATGCGTTATCATTATTAACTAAACCCGAACAACAAATTAAAAGCTCCTACACATATCTTTATTAGGAGGATGCTGAGTCAGGATTCCGAGACATTTAAGATACTAAATCATCTTTTTTTATACTGAGGCGCTGTTTGTCAATAGGTAAGGCCGGCAACTGCTTGGGGCCCCAGGTCAGTGGAGGGCCCCTGAGGTCTTACAAACTTTAAACTCTAGCAGTGGGTGTAAATGTGCATATTTTTGCAATGACAGTAGGAAACCTCCCTAAGGGGGCCCCATCTGACAGCACTCCATTGCTAAGTGTGGCGTGCATTTTTGCTCTGAAAACCAACGTTTGTCAATGAAAGTCAAAAGAGGAGATGAAGAGGAATTGTCTGTCTGAGAGTGGAGAAAAAAGAGAGAAAGAGGAAGAGGAGTAAATGGTGAGAAACTCGCAGACAAAATGGTGATGATTGCTGGTTGGAGGGGCCCTCCATGAATTATTGCCAAGGGCCCCAACAGACTCTAGAATCGCCACTGGATAGTGTCATATTTTTCCATCATTACTACTCTTACATTATTTGAGATGATAAATCATAAATGTCAACAGCACTGAAATTTTGGATTAAATTGACTTTAATGAAGTTCATGATGAAGCAGTTCAAAGAAAAGTTAACTTTGACATTTCCGGTTCTACTTTGGTTTAAGCACTCAGAACAAACGGAGCATATTCTAAAAGTTAAAATATTTAAAGGTATTTTAATATTCAGCTTTTCTTTCAGTTTAATGACCCTTTGTGATTGTAGTTAGAGTGCACACCCCTCCTCCTCCTCCTCCTCCTCCTCCTCAGTCAGATTACACATTTATTTCTCCTTCAGTCTGCAGTCACTCCCATCGTGTCCGGGGAGTACACTCACCACCACCGGGACAGAGCTCCGATGGCTGCCCGGGTTTCCTTCACCCAGATCCGGCTGGAGACGGAGGTGGAGCGCTGCCGGGCCGAGTGTCAGTGGGACAGGATGCCGGCGATCATCGACCAGATGCAGGCTGCGCGTTTCCACGAGGACGGTGAGTGGTGGGAGTTCACCTCCAGGAGGGTGCAGAGTTTAAATCGCTTCCTGGAAGGTTTTTACTACTCATTGATTTGTTTACTGCATATGACATTACAAGCGAAAAAAAGCTAAAACTATGACTCACGTTTTCTTTTAGTAAGTTTGCTTTGTTTAAATTGTATTCGTTTCAGAGTTGTTGTTTTCTTTAGTCAGAGTCACTTTTTCTTCAGAAAATCCTCCAAAACTTTAACCTGTAAAGAGTTTCCCTGCAGTGCTTAGCAACAAGAGCTTCCTGTATTTTCAAGTTTTTGCACAGTAGCTGATTTTTTTCACGATTTCAAGACTCAAGTTTCTTCAGTGATGTTTTGAACTCTGCACAGGTTAGACTTTGGACTCAAAGCAAGACAGGTCGACAAGATTCCTGTGCAAGATCTAGTCTACAAATAAGAACTCATTTAAAAACAGAAAACATATAGGATCGCTGTAATCAGACCCAAAGGGGTCAGAGTGTCTCCAGATAGTTTACAGTACACTCAATGATAACTGAAGAGGATCAAAGGTGTTGTTTGACCCTCCTTACTGTTACCCCCTCCTCCTCCAGGGGACAAAATACCACCTGCTTTACAAAAACAACACGACTTTATGCTTTCCCTCCTGAAATCTTTCCACACAAGCTCCAAGAAATGCAAACAAGCGTATCGTTCTGTGCCTCATAAAGCATTTCTGTGCTGAGTCACTAATGCACCTGCCTCCACCCCTCGCACGCTCAGTAAATACAGGTCCAGGTGACTTTACTGCAAGTCAACAGTTATTGAGCCCATATCTGGCTGATGGTGCAGGCGGACAGTTTGTACATGCACTGAAGTGTTAAATCAAATGTGGTGTTTCTTACTGTTTGCGTGCATGAGTCACATCAGCTGATCTGACATTCATGGAAAGAAGGGTGAATCAGGAGAGTTAAAGCGCTTCTGCTCCACAGTCTTTATGAAGAAATGGAACAATTTGATGGCAGTTGAAAAAAAAAAAAGGAATTTGATTCCACCAATAGGAAGCTGAAGGGATGACAGCTGGCTGGCTATTAGTACACACAGCAACAACAAAACTCAAGAATCAAGATGTTTATTGTCACTCCACACGTGGGTACAAAGGTGTGAGACATCTTTTGTGATTCATTCAGAAGAGGACATTTTAAATATACAAGTCCTGTAAAATGTTAAAGGTTAAAGTGAAAGCAGCAACATAATGTACAAAAACATATTCACCTCAGAAATACAAACATCACACAGCTGTGTTTGATACTTGATTCTGATTGGACAGTTATGCATCCCAACGGTCTGCTACCCCTCGATAGATCATCACTGTCAAGAAGAACAAACCGTTGCTAAGGAAAGCACACGTTGCTAGGCTAGGGCCACGGCTTTTATCACAGATTCTGGAGGACTAAATGTAAATGATATAAATCCACGGAAAGAGACTGATCTGTTTACGGAGAGGAAAGGGGATAACAGCGAAGAAAAGATGTTAAGACGTCAAAGCTGAACGCTATGACAGAAGAATCCACAAAAATGAAGACGGCAAACAAAGTAAACATTTATTGTACTAAGCCACATTTTGCAAAGTCGGACTAACTCACCTAGTTAATCCAGCAGGGGGTCGATTTTCTCTTTCGTGTGTACACACCTCAATCGGACATGAACTGGCCTCAGCGTTCTGAGCATGTTCCATGGCGGGCTTTAACCCTGAACTCAAACAGCAGAAGAAAGCGAGACAGCGGTTTCAACATGGAAAGTTTTTTTTATTTTTTTTATTTTTTTTAGTTATTTGGCTTTTGTGCCTTTTTATTGGAGAGATAGGACAGTGGATAGAGTCTGAAATCAGGGAGAGAGAGAGAGAGTAGGGAATGACATGTGGGAAAAGAGCCACAGGTTTGATTGAACCTGGGCCGCCTGCTTGGAGGACCATAGCCTCCATACATGGGACGCACACACTACTGACTGCGCCATCAGCGCCCCCCAACATGGCGAGTTTGAGAATGAGATCCACGCCTTTTTGGACAGCTTATGTCACATCAGCAAAAAATGTGCACAGCTCTAAAGTTGGCCATGTTTTCACCGTTCCTTAACTTGTTTGGTAAGAGGCGTTAACGTAGGTAGTTACCATAGCAACGAGCTAAAATGTGGTATATTGCGACCTACCGAGGTGGAGTCATTCATGCAGTACTTCCATCAATGAGACATTATTCCAGTGAAATGTCACTGAACTGCTCATGTAGACGTCCTGAGTGACTCTTTGTAACGTTCAAAGCCTCCAGCTCGTGTGGTGAGGAGCTCTCTGTCGTTTGGGGCTGAGAACCGTCCTGCTGTTTACACTCCGCCCGTACACACACACAGTTTAGCCTTGGCTGTGCTGATAAAACTAACAGCAGATATACGAAGAGCATCAGGATATAAACACTGCGTCAGAGCACACACACACACACACACACATACACAGAGGGACAAAGGTAAACAGGAAGGTTTAATCGAGTGTGTGTGTACACAGGATCTCAGGTTCATTCCTGGACTCTGAGGTCGGTTTACTGTACCACAAGCTCGTCTTATCGTGTGATTACAATATGAAATCTATTTCAGGAGAGCACGGAGGGAGGGAAATGGAAACTGTTGCTTCTAAAAAAGACGTCAGGAATATTGAAGCTTCTCTCCCTGAGTCGGTGGGAAATGTTGTTTTTATGGACTCGCTGAGGTTTGCTTTGGCTACAGAAAATAGTGACGTTTGACCCCGAGCTCAGACGGACTCCAACAAAGTCCGTTTTTCTATCCTGACCCCCCTCTCAGATGACTACGGGATGCTGCTGATGGCGGAGGCCCTGCTGGAGGAGTGCCTGCAGGAAAACACGGACCTCTTACGGAGCTGCATGCCTCTGACGGACAAGACCCAACCCAAACTGTGCCGAGCCAAAGGACACCTCAACTCGGTCCTGAGCAGAGGCCGTCTCTCGGTCAGTCTCTTTGCAGCTCAGAATATTCCTTTAACTAAATAAAGAAAGTATGCAGAGCTCATAAAGCTTCTTATGCACGTCTCTGACTTGATGTTGTTTCTGTCTTTCTTTCCTCCTCTCGCCCTCCAGCCTCGGTACCTGAACGAGGCTCTGCTGCTGATGGCCAAAGTCCACTATGTGCAGGGTCGGTACCGGGACGCTCAGGGGATGTGTGCCAGGGTGGGACTGGAGGAGCTGACACAGGATGTACAGCCCACTTACCACCTACGCCTGCTGGCCGAGGCTTTTGTCATCAAAGGTACCCGACACGCCTCCTGCTTTTTTTTTTTAAGCTTTATTTTTGGGCTTTTTGTGTCTTTAATAGAGAGATAAGAAAGTGGATAGAGTTGGAAATCAGGGAGAGAGAGAGAGTGTGGAATGACATGCGGGAAAGAAGCTACAGGTGGGATTCGGACCTGGGCCGCCCGCTTGGAGGAGCAAAGCCTCCATACATGGGGAATGGACACCTAAATATGTACAAAAAGGCTGCAGGTTTATATAAGGTAACATTTTAGTGATGATGTAAAAATTGTATAAAGAGTTCAGTTACAACACAAAGACCTCAAAGGAACACAGTCACTACAACTGCCAAGATTTTTACACTGATGGCTAAAAAAAACTGTAAGTGAGTCATGTTCGGTGGAAACATTAGCTGTTACTCACACACACACACACACACAGATGCAGTCTTTAATTTTCATTCTGAAACACCAGAATGATCAAAGGTCAAAGGTCACTTCCACAGAGCATCATCAATGCGGTCCTTAGAGGTCTATATAATCGTATTAAACTCATAATCACGTCGTTACATTTCCTGTTCCCTGATGATCACACATGACCATGACGAGGACTTTAAACTATTACATATTTATTTACTCTGCATGTTTCTGTTGCTGAACTCGGTCAGGTCCTCAGGGATGTTTGTAACCTGGTGTATGTTGTTATGGGCCTGCAGTCAGATGTGGATATTTGTCCGATGATATCCTCCCGTCTGTACGCAGCTCTCTGTTTATTTGATCAGGCTGGCGTCTGCTCTGAGGCCACTGTCAGTCACAGACCTCACGCAGAATAGAAAATGTTCAGTTTATCTGAATCAATAAGTCTCAAACAGACTCCTGAGCAGGCATCTGGACCAGGACCGACCTGCTCTCCTCTTCCGCTCTGATCATCAGTCAGCCGAGCGTCCGTCTCCTCAGAAACAGTAGGAGAACACAGAGAGAGAGCATGAGAGAAATGAGAAGAAATGTAGGATCTGTTAAATGAGTTGAGTTGATTTTATTTAATCGAAGATGTTTATACACATCATCAGTGGGTTGTATCCTCCTGTGGGCTGATTATGAAAGAGGCTGAAATTCAGATTGATGCCTCTATTTGATGTAAAAGAACAAAGAAGACCATCAGCAGGAAGATTGACCTTTTGTATAAAGATGATTTTAATTTCTGAAAACACCGCAGGGGATTTGAGTGTCAGACAAAGTGACAAGCAGCATGCAGACTTTTTAGAGACATTATTGTTAAAAAAGCTACTTGCACATATAACAACATCAGCAAAGAGATAAGAGGTACTGCTTTGTCCACAGGGGGCGCCAAAATCAACACAAACCAAAAGTTAAGCTTTAAGCCTCCTGGCAAACAGCTGTAACATCCCCCCTCTTTGCAGCCATATCAGCCGAGCTCCCCATTATGTATCACTTTTAACCTTCATATAATAAACAAGTTATTTTGAAAACATCACCCTCGGTCTAGAGTGTGCTGATAAAGAAAGGAGCTATTCAGACCTTTGCATCAGGCTGTAAACATGTTTACTTCTGCTGTACATTTTTAACCACTCTCTGTGGTTCAGAGTCATGTTCAGGTCTCTCTGTGGTTCAGAGTCATGTTCAGGTCTTCTCGTGGTTCAGAGTCATGTTCAGGTCTCTCTGTGGTTCAGAGTCATGTTCAGGTCTTCTGGTGGTTCAGAGTCATGTTCAGGTCTCTCTGTGGTTCAGAGTCATGTGCAGGTCTTCTTGTGGTTCAGAGTCATGTTCAGGTCTCTCTGTGGTTCAGAGTCATGTTCAGGTCTCTCTGTGGTTCAGAGTCATGTTCAGGTCTCTCTGTGGTTCAGAGTCATGTTCAGGTCTTCTTGTGGTTCAGAGTCATGTTCAGGTCTCTCTGTGGTTCAGAGTCATGTTCAGATCTCTTTGTGGTTCAGAGTCATGTTCAGGTCTCTCTGTGGTTCAGAGTCATGTTCAGGTCTTCTCGTGGTTCAGAGTCATGTTCAGGTCTCTCTGTGGTTCAGAGTCATGTTCAGGTCTTCTCGTGGTTCAGAGTCATGTTCAGGTCTTCTCGTGGTTCAGAGTCATGTTCAGGTCTCTCTGTGGTTCAGAGTCATGTTCAGGTCTTCTCGTGGTTCAGAGTCATGTTCAGGTCTTCTCGTGGTTCAGAGTCATGTTCAGGTCTCTCTGTGGTTCAGAGTCATGTTCAGGTCTCTCTGTGGTTCAGAGTCATGTTCAGGTCTTCTCGTGGTTCAGAGTCATGTTCAGGTCTCTCTGTGGTTCAGAGTCATGTTCAGGGCTCTCTGTGGTTCAGAGTCATGTTCAGATCTCTCTGTGGTTCAGAGTCATGTTCAGGTCTTCTCGTGGTTCAGAGTCATGTTCAGGTCTCTCTGTGGTTCAGAGTCATGTTCAGGGCTCTCTGTGGTTCAGAGTCATGTTCAGATCTCTCTGTGGTTCAGAGTCATGTTCAGGTCTCTCTGTGGTTCAGAGTCATGTTCAGGTCTTCTCGTGGTTCAGAGTCATGTTCAGGTCTCTCTGTGGTTCAGAGTCATGTGCAGGTCTTCTTGTGGTTCAGAGTCATGTTCAGGTCTTCTCGTGGTTCAGAGTCATGTTCAGGTCTCTCTGTGGTTCAGAGTCATGTGCAGGTCTTCTCGTGGTTCAGAGTCATGTTCAGATCTCTCTGTGGTTCAGAGTCATGTTCAGGTCTCTCTGTGGTTCAGAGTCATGTGCAGGTCTTCTTGTGGTTCAGAGTCATGTTCAGGTCTCTCTGTGGTTCAGAGTCATGTTCAGGTCTTCTCGTGGTTCAGAGTCATGTTCAGGTCTCTCTGTGGTTCAGAGTCATGTTCAGGTCTCTCTGTGGTTCAGAGTCATGTTCAGGTCTTCTCGTGGTTCAGAGTCATGTTCAGGTCTTCTCGTGGTTCAGGTCTCTCTGTGGTTCAGAGTCATGTTCAGATCTCTCTGTGGTTCAGAGTCATGTTCAGGGCTCTCTGTGGTTCAGAGTCATGTTCAGGTCTTCTCGTGGTTCAGAGTCATGTTCAGGTCTCTCTGTGGTTCAGAGTCATGTGCAGGTCTTCTGTGGTTCAGAGTCATGTTCAGGTCTTCTCGTGGTTCAGAGTCATGTTCAGGTCTCTCTGTGGTTCAGAGTCATGTGCAGGTCTTCTCTGTGGTTCAGAGTCATGTTCAGATCTCTCTGTGGTTCAGAGTCATGTTCAGGGCTCTCTGTGGTTCAGAGTCATGTTCAGGTCTCTCTGTGGTTCAGAGTCATGTTCAGGTCTTCTCGTGGTTCAGAGTCATGTTCAGATCTCTCTGTGGTTCAGAGTCATGTTCAGGTCTTCTTGTGGTTCAGAGTCATGTTCAGGTCTCTCTGTGGTTCAGAGTCATGTTCAGGTCTTCTGGTGGTTCAGAGTCATGTTCAGGTCTCTCTGTGGTTCAGAGTCATGTTCAGGTCTTCTCGTGGTTCAGAGTCATGTTCAGGTCTTCTCGTGGTTCAGAGTCATGTTCAGGTCTCTCTGTGGTTCAGAGTCATGTTCAGGTCTTCTCGTGGTTCAGAGTCATGTTCAGGTCTCTCTGTGGTTCAGGTCTGTCTCTGGACCACCAGGCGGTCTCTTCAATATCTCGTGTCCGTCTGTCAGAGAGGGAGGAGGAGAGTCTGTCCTGTTTCCTGAGAGCCTGCGATGCCGCGCTCTCCTACCTGCAGGAGCTCGACAAGGTGCGTTTTTATTTACACCTGCAGAGGAGGACAAATGTGTGTGTGTCTTGATGAGTGTGTGTATGTCAGACTCAGCAAACTTTATTTTCAGACTTCATCGACCCCCCACTCTAAGACCCCAAAATCCAGTCTTCTCCCTCCCCCTCCCGACATCGACCTGGGCTACTTCGTGCACGCCGCGTTACAGAGCGCGTACCTGTGTCTGCTGCAGAGAGGGTGAGGCTCACACACACACACACACACACACACACACACACACACACACACACACACACACACACACACACTGAAACACAGTGTCTGCCTGCCTAATATCCTAAATTTAACCTGGTGAAAATAAAACCTGAGCATCTTTAGACACATTCTTAAGACCTGGCATAAAGAGCAGAATTATCGTGTCAAACAACATGTCTCTCCTATCTGAGCACAGCAGGCACACAGACCTCTATCAAAGGGTTTTTCTCGGGGTTTTTTCCTCTAGTTAAAGAGGACATATTATCCCCCTTTCCCCCCTTTTCAAACAGTCCCCTGTGGTCTAAATGAAACATCTGTGCTGTGCTTTGGTCAAAGTATAACATGAATCAAGCACCAGAGGAGGTTTGTGACCCTGTATAAACCAGCTCTCTCAGAACGCTCCGTTTTGGTGTGTGTGTCTCTTTAAATGCAATGAGCCCCTCCTGAGTTTTCCCAGTAGACATCACTCCTCTGTAGCGAGAATAAAAATGGTACACCTGCAGAAGTGTGGGTGGAGTCCATGGGTGGAGATATCAGGGGAGGGGATTTTTTTTTTTACCAGAATCCCACTGTGATGTCAAAAGGGGAGCAAATTTGTAATGGGGCATTTTTCTCTGTGTTGTAAGACTTATGCAGACCACAAACAAAGGACTGGATGAGTTTATTTAATATTTTGTGGGTCGGTAGACACTCAGGTTACCCAGATAAATGTTCAAAAACACTGTAGAAGTTGATTTGTCATAATATGTCCCCTTTAAAACTGTCTTTTATCTGTGCATCTTTAGGGAGTGGAATACTTTATTTTAAGTCTTAGCAGAACTTATCAAAGCCCACAAAGTGAGATGTAACCTACAGAAGAGCTCAGATTTGTGAATCAAAGTGAGACAAAGACTTTAACCCTTTAATGGGGATGTATAAATATTTTGGATAGTTAATGAGTTGCTGTTCTCTATTGTATCGGGTCTACAATATAATAGCTTCATGATTTTGTTCTCCTAAAATATGACCTTTGTTTTCCCATTTACAGTCTGTATCTCCCAGGATACGTCGCCTGTTTAGGGTATAATGTCAACATGTTCCCTCCTCATTTAAAAGGTCCAATATCAACTTTATAAACATTTTATAAACAATTAATTTCTGTCAAAAACTGTTTTCAAAAACAAAATCCCACCAAACTCTAATTAGCATGAAAAACAACACGTAGCTCGTGGTCAGTGCCTTTGTCGACACACACCGCCATGTTGGATATTGATTTGTTTCTCATGGAGTGTTGGCATGAAGTCACATGACCTGAGTGTTTGACCCACTGACCCCCAGATAGAATTGTATCAAACCGTACTGAATCCTTCTGTATTTTTCTGAATTGCCTGGAGAATCGAATCAAATCAGAACAAATCCTCTTATAAAAACTGACGCACACCCCCTGTTCGTGCATGTATGTACACTGACAAGAAGGAGCAGGACCTCAGAGAGATTTATAAACAAGAAACAGCAGAAGTGAAAGTCTGCAGACATACAGAAGACAAACACTGAGCTGCAGCTTAAAGAGTGGGGAGCAGGGTTACTGCAGCAGGTTATAAATAAACATAAAGGACAATGATAGAGAGAACTCAGTTTCTTTAGGCATTCTTCAGGTTCTTTCATAAGCACAACATCAGCTGTTCAGTTAAAGGAAGACGCTGAAGAAACAATTTCTTTATCTGGAGGGAGAAATGGGATGATAAATAAAACAACACAATTAACTAAGTCCATTAGCTGAGGTGAACGGGCGGGCTGGCATACGTTTTTTGAATATGTCAAAGTATGGCGAATAGAGGATAACTGCTGGGAGAGACTTCCAGATTGTGGGGGCTGCCAACCTGAAGGCTCTGCAGGTTTGTGTGGGAGAATCGAGAGCAAACCAGGGTCAGAGGATCAGAGGTTCAGGGTCAGAGTGTAGGGATGGAGGAGGTCAGAAAGCCTGTTACCCCTGGCATGGACTCATTTATTCAGACGAGAAGTGATGAAGGCTAGATGAGAGATTCTGCACCAGGGTCTGTGAGTGATGGCCGGAGTCTGGAGATGTTTTTGAGATGGTAGATTTATCTTTGTGCTCCTTATGTTTGTCTAAATCATCTACGTTTGTTTAAAGACCTCGTCTCTGGTTCTGCACTTTGTTTAATAGCTGCAGTGTTTTCTCATTCGTCTTCGGACAGGACCTGGAAATCTGTTGATCGCGGTCTTTTAAACAAAGTGAGGACGAGAGGAAATAAAGGAGAAACTCACCTCATTGAAACATACATGTAATTCAATCATCTGACCAGCAGGTGTCAGCGTTGCTCTTTGACTCAGAGAAGCAGCCTCTGTCACTCTGTGTCCAGTTTGTAAGGCACCAAAACTGACAGAGTCTAACGTGTGTCTACAAAGATTTAATTTCACTGAAGACAGCTTTAAAAACTTTTCTGAGGAATCTTATATTTAAACTGTCATGTGCAAGGGAGCAAGGGAAACCAGACGCAGCATTGAAGTGAGCCTCTCCTTCCTTACTCCCTATGATGATCCAAAAACAAACCAGTCTGCAGTCCACAAATATTTTATCTCATTAAACACACATAGAGAGCACAGGCCAAATAAACAACAAAAAATCCTCATCAAAAACCCAAATTATCTGGACAGTCATGTTGGGAGTGGAAGAAGAAGGCAGGGGGCGTGTCGGCTTTTGCATTTCCATCTCAAATCTTGCGGCATCAACTCCCATCCAATCACTGGCATGCACCTGCAGCTCAACCAAAGAAAACAGAACAAATCCCACACAGGCAGAATAATCTAATAATAATCATTTAAACACACATTTACATTACTGTTTACTCATATGACTCGCAGGCATAACGTGTGTGTGTGTGTGTGTGTGTGTGTGTGTGTGTGTGTGTGTGTGTGTGTGTGTGTGTGTGTGTGTTAGTCATCTTGCACAGGGTTCACACCAGCTGCGTCGGGTGCTCAGGGTGGTGGAGTCTCGAGGGTCTCAGAGCTTCAGGAAGGTAATCATTTTAAAAATATGAATGATATTTGTATAAACACTCACAGAGCGCCTCACAACCACCAGATTGTGAAGCTTAAACTTGTTAATCATGTCTCTACTCCAAATGGTTTCTGCATTAACATAAATAAATACCAACAGGTGTTGCAGTGATGGAAGCGGGCAAGAGAAGTGGTTCAGATAGAAGTGATTGTACCCGACCTAAAAAGCCTCTGCATGTTTCTAATAAGCTCCACGAGCAGAAACGTGCTCAAACTAGGATCAATATTGGAGATGCTTTTGAAAAATGGAGAGAGGTTAGAACGCAGAAAGGTTTACAGACCAATGCAGAGCTGGATAAACACTGAAGCTTCAGTGTTCACCACATGGTGACCTGCGTGAGCATCGAAACTAGAGAGGAGGGGGCCGGGGGAGACAGCTCTCTGTGATTGAATTTGGACTGCAGTACCCACTTCAAACACTAGGTGTCAGACCTACATACTGCTCCTTTAAATATGATACAACAGAAGGTCCTGTTTCTTTGTTTTTATATTTGTTTAGGATTATTATTATTATTGAAATAATTTCTCCTTAAATCCTTCAGGTAACTTTTTTTTATTTTTGTGTTCACGTTGTATGATAAATGATCCTGATAGATATTCTGCACGTTGGTGTCTTCTCTCAGTCTGCAGCCAGGAAGCTAGCAGAGGTGCTGCTGAGCTCCGTCAGTGTAGACAGCTACTGGCCCCCGCTGGGACCCCCCCCCACAGCCTGGCTCCACAGAGAGGGGGCTGCCGCCTCCAAAGATGCCATCTACCCCACCGTGAAACCCCCGCAGAGATACAGCACAGAGGGGTCTGTTCTGTTTGATTCATTTTCATGTTTTAATTGATCCTCCTTTATCCATTATTCTGTTGCCCTCGAGGTGTTAGTTTATTTAAGTTGCACTTTCATCCCGTCTTGTATCAGTTTTGTCCGAGATCCTATCAGACTGACAAATGTAGCACTTTGTCGAAATTTTCTAAATTGTACATTTTATGTTAAAGGCTTCCCATATCTTCCTTTTCCTCCTTCTCCCCCTCCTCCCCCTCCTCTGCCTTCTCTTCCCCCTCCTTTGTTCCCCATTTTCCTCCTGTTCTGACTTTTCCTTCTCCTCTTCCTCCACTCCTTCTCCTTTTCCTTGCTTTTCTTCCTCATTCTCTTTTTTTTCCTTTTCTCCTCTTCATCCTCAATGCTTTCTTTTACTACTCTTCTTCCTCTCCCTTCCTTCCTTCTTTCTCTTCTTCCCTCCTCTTCCTTCCTTCCTTCCTTCCTTCCTTCCTTCCTTCTCTTCCTCCCTCCTCATCTTCCTTCCTTCCCTCATTCTCTTCCTCCCTCATCCTTTCCCTTCCTTCCTGCCTCGCTCCTCCTCTCCCTTCCTTCCTTCCTTCCTCCCTACTCCTCTCCCTTCCTTCCTTCCTTCGTTCCTTCTCTTCCTCCCTCCTCCTGTTTTTCCTTCAACTTCACCTCCCTTCCCCTCTTCCTCCTTTTTCCTCATCATCAACCTTCTCCCTGTGCTCCCCTTCAGCCTCCTCCTTCTCCTCTTCCTCCTCTGCCTTCTTTTCATTCTCTTCCTCCTCCCTCGTTCCCCTTTATCCACATGTTCTATCTCTTCCATCTCCCTTTTCTCTTCTCCTTTTCCTTGCTATTCTTCCTCCTCCTCTTCTCTTTTATTATCCTCCTCCTCCTTCCATTCCTTCTTCTCCTCTTTCTCCTTCTTTTCTCCATTTTCCCTTTTCACCCTTTTCCTCTTTGTTTTGTTTTCCTCCTCTTCTTCCTCCTTATCTTAACATTTATTCCTCTTCCCTTCTTCCCTCCTTCTTTTGTGCATGATTAGAGTGTTAATGGTTGTTGAGTAATGTGCGAGAAGGGCAGTGTGTAAAATGTTCAAAAATATCCAGAGAGACGTTATGTCGTGCATCAGAATCGACCATGATACAACATAAAGTGACGGATTGAAACATAACACTGCACATTCCTGACATGACGGACTCATTATCTGCATCGGCACATGGAGCTTTATCTGCATTTTGTTCCAGTGTTTGCAGGATTCCTGCACTCTGAGGCCCTGAGAGCTGTACTTGTCACATCCACACACGACTAATCGAGCTTGCGCTATCATACAGGAAGATCTAAATCCATGTCTGAGATTAGAGAGAGGAGGAAGAGGAGCGCTCGCCCCGAGGGAGAGAGAGAGTGTACCTCACTGTGTTCCAGAGTTTAATCATCAGATTTCTCTTCTTACAAATCGTGTCCAAAAAACAGAGAAGAAGAAAGTGATAAAGGAGAGGGAGGAGCCTGCAGGTGTGTGTGTGCGTGCGTGCGCGCGTGTGTGTGTGTGACATCTGAGTCAGTGCTGTGTAGTGATATACCCGGTGTGGTCCGTGTTGTGTTACAGCACCACAAAGAGAAACTGGACACTCGACACTTGCAGCAATCTGACAACCCACATTCAGTCCTGTGTGTGTGTGTGTGTGTGTGTGTGTGTGTGTGTGTGTGTGTGTGTGTGTGTGTGTGTGTGTGTGTGTGTGTGTGTGTGTGTGTGTGTGTGTGTGTGTGTGTGTGTGTGTGTGTGTGTGTGTGTGTGTGTGTGTGTGTGTGTGTGTGTGTGTGAGAGGAATAGACTTCCTAATTGTTTTTTTACTTCTTGTTTCTTGTGTCTCTGCAGTTGCTTCTGTCCTCAGGACGTGGTGGAGGAGGCTGTGCTGCTGCTGCTCATCACAGAGTCCATGGTGAGAGACACACACACACACACACACACACACACACACACACACACACACACATATGCATGTACACAGACTTTCTTTTCTTCCTTCTCCCCATTGACTGCACATTATCAGCCTTGAACACAAACCCAAAAAATAGGCTCTATTCCATTCTTAGTTTTCCTCCTCTTCCACCCTCTTTCTCCTCCTCATCCTATTTTCCTCCCCATCCTTGTTTCACCTCTTCCTCCTCATCATCTTCCTTCATCTTCTCATCCTCGTCTTGTACCCCCTTCTCCTCCCCTTCCTTCTTTTCTACCTCATCCCCTTCTCTCCTTCTCAACCTTTTCCCTCCTCCTCTTGATGGTCCTCCTCCTTCTCCTCCCCCTCTTTGTCCTTTTCCCGGTCTCCTCCTCCTCCTTCTTCTTCCTTCTTCTCATTCTCCTCTTGTACCCCTCCCCGCCTTCCCTTCCTCCTTTCCCTCTCTCCTACTTGTTCCTACTAATCCTCCTCCTTTTCTCCCTGTGGTCTTTTCTCTTCTCCCTCCTTCTCCTCTTGCTCCTTTACCACTTCCTCTGCCTCCTTTTCCTTGTCTCCCTTTCCTCTTCTCCTTCTCCTCCTCCTCCACTTCCTTCTGCTTCCACACCCCTCCTCCTCTCCCACCGTCTTCCTCCCTCTCCTCTTCTTCATCACTCAGATTTTGTCCTCTACCAGGCGAGCGGCGAGGCCGTGATCAGTCGTCTGCCGGACCAGGCCGAAGCTCGTAAGACCAGCCTGCAGGATGCCACCTCTGTGTACGACCTGCTCACTATCGGCATGGCCAGGAGGGGGCAGTATGCCATGTTGTCTGAGGTGTGCGCGCACACACACACACGCACACACACACACACAAAAGCTCGACGCTGGAGGTCTGAGGGGAGGAGATGACTTAGTGAGAACTTTATCTTTCCAAAATGTTTAAATGAATGTCTTCATCATTTTGAGCAAACAGATTATGTCTCTCTCTCTCTCTCTCTTTATCCTCAAGTATTCTTCTGCTTCCTGTCTCTCTTTTTTAAGTGTCTCTCGCTCCAAATGTCTCCTCACTTTTTTTTATGACAAGCTCTCCTTATGTGACTTCCCCCCAGATGTGGGGGAGTCGGGGAGCTGGAGGTTACAGAGGTCGTTCCTAAATTAGGTTTGCCCACCTGTCTGACTGATTCATAGACAGAATCAGTCATCTAATAAGGACGACCACACAGACGCATACACACACACACACACACACACACACACACACACACACACACTGAGGATCAGTTGTCAGATATATGAGCTGCTATTGGACCATGTATTAAAGATTGGATGTCGGCGATCTTTGATGTGATGAAAAGATTCACCCTGATTGATTACAGACTGGAGCATGAATCAATCTGAACTGTGACTCCTGCAGCTTGTGATTCAAACACCTACACGTCTTAACATCCCGTCGAGAAATCCAGTTAATACAGAAAAATGTGGAACGTAATCATGTATATTTATTGTCTACAGATAAATACGTTTAAGATGTAACTAGTTTTAACTCCGAATAAAAATTTCCCATTGCAAGAAAAAGTTCTGGATAAAAAATTGATTGTACACTTTGTTAGGAGTCACTAATTAAATTATAAGGTAGTGATGTCATCAACACAATAGGTGCATTAATATGTAAGTAGGTCAGGTACAGAACTTTATACTGGGTAGGTGCTCACTTTGGGGATCCCTTAAATTTCCATCGAGTGCCATCATCGAGGCGAGCTGAGTTTGCGTCAACCTTTGAGCTGCAGCTAAAACGAACACTTCTGTATAATTTATCATGTAAGACAAAAAAATGTAATCAGTCCATTACAGACGGTTCAAATGTGGAAGGCAAAAATCCTCTCTGACGCAGAACTACGCATCACATCGAGTGAACTTTTAGACTTTAAAGAAAATTTAAAGGTGGAGTCAGTAGAAGTTTTTTCATGCAGTTTGTAAACACAACATTCAAACTGGGCCCTCCTCCTCCTGAGCTCATCGTCCACCAGAAGCTCACACTCACTGCAGGATGTAGTGTGTACGTTTACTGCTTGTAGCTACACTGCAAGCTAATGCACGCTAGCACAAGCTAATAGTCGGTGTTTGTCACCTGCCTGTCCAACAGGAAGCAGACCAACTCCATGTCCACGGATAAAAGACAACACAAGGTTTTATCACTATCACTATTTAAGATGAGAGAAAAAATGAAGTCAGGCTGTGCAATGTCGCATGGACGGCAGCGAGCAGCGTTGAACTGCTAGTCTAACAACGATGATTTTAAATGTATTTTAAATATGTTTGGTGATTGGTGTTTCGTCTCACTGTGTTTATATTTTCTCTTCTTTGCTGCTACGTCCACGCCCGTCATATTAGCCGGTTTGAATAGTGTCCAACCACTGAATTCTTTCACTCCTAAACTCACCTGCTGTGCTGCCAGAACAAAACAGAAAAGTAAAATCCAGTCAGAGGACAGAGTCTCTGCAGACACAGTCACCACCACACATGTACAGAGGCCCAGAAGTGAGGACTTTATTATCCCAGTAAGACATTTGCATTGGACTACACAGCGCTCTGATACAGTTAACACCTCATACATCAATCGCACATGTTAATTTACATCATAAAGTTTCACACTTAGTTCAAAGTAAATGCATCCAAAACAAGTATTAGAAATCAAGACGAACATCAACAAGTACGTCTACAGAGAAAGTTTAAAGCGGTGGCTGAAGGGAACATGTTTCAGACAGATGCTCTGCAGACTGATGGAAGTATATGAGCAACTTGATTTGCAACTTCATGATAAAGTAGTCCGTCTAAACTGTATGCAAAGAGCATGCAAAGCAGGTCGTTTGTAGCTGCAGAACAGACTGTGAGATTTAAGGCAGGGTCGTAGTCAAGGCCAGACTAACCAGGGCCAAGACATACCTGAGACCGGAGTGCTCAGAGACCGAGACAGGACCAAGGCAGGGCGAGACCAAGACAAGACTCAAAGATCAACATGTCCACACGTTAGCTCTGTTACAACAGGGTCTCCTCTAACCCTCTAAGGGGTTAAAAGCGGATTCACAACATGTGGGGAAGATTTAACGGATTAACAAAGGTCAGCATCGTCACATATGGAGCAGACACTTTCTGTTTATTTTCTGTTTAGTTTGCTGCCACTCGAATGCTTAATGTGAGACTCAGCGTGGTCCATTCATGGTTTAGTAAAAGTATTCATTATACAATAAGTCGTACAGTCCACACTCTGCGTGATGTTTTGAGCTCTGTGCATCAGGACGGCTTTGTCTGCACGTTAACAGTCTGCAGCCTTTTCACTAAGTGCACATTATTCAATCAGAACTTCATTCAGAGCCTTTTCCTGCTTTGGCACACCTCGGACTGACTGACAGTGGCTGACTGAGCACACTCCACACACACATCAGTCACATCTTTATGGTCTGAAGCAGGGCTGAGGCTTAGCCCAACACACACACACACACACACACACACACACACACACACACACACACACACACACACACACACACACACACACACACACACACACACACATGGTTGAAAGCGGTGCTGAGGGGGGAGTGTAGGCGTATAGACAACTAATAGCACCCAAAAGTTTGGAACTGTTTCAGTCAGTTCAGCCAGAAACAGACATACACTGCTCCTCTCAGAGCCACCAAACATCATAAACAAAAACATTCATTTTAACCTCAGGAATCCGGTCGACTGCTGCCTTCGGTTCAATTGCTCATTTTAATCGCACGTTCCATTATTTAGCATTTCTAAAACGCTTTAAAGCTTTTATTTTGAATGTTCGCCTGTCTTAAGCCAATGTTACTTCCTGTTTGAATTCAACCCTGCCTTTTTGATCACAACCTGACGTAGGTCAAAGGTCAATGTGTGATGTCATAAGGTCAATGTGTGATGTCATAAGGTGGATATTACTTTGGACTCGTCAGCTGAGCTGTCTGAGAGTTTGTTAAAGTGAAATGAGACACTGAAAGATGCAGCAGTGTTTTTCTACACCACTGAGACTACAGGGAGACCAAACGGCAACCTCTGGTATTGAAAAATGAAAATCCTGCAGTTCTTCGAGTGTCCACTTGAGGCTGGCTGCAGGAACACTGGAGGTCACATACACACCCATCCAAAAATGGGTTTTTACAGTATAAATTAACATGTTTACAGCCTGGTACAATAAAACAAATAGCTCTGATTAGTTGTTGTCATCACTGGCACACACTGTACGGGGTACACATTTATTCCAAACAGCTCCAATTTGATTTGATGAACGATATGTGCTATCAATAGTTAGGCGCTTAGCTGACATGATTGACAGGTAGTGTAACAGTTTGTCAGGAGTCTTAAAACCCGCCTCAGCTCCAGCTCTCAGCCTGTCGTTAGGTTGACTGAAAGTTAGACTGAGACAGGATTTCCAGCATGGCGGCTGCTGCCGATGAGCCTCCGGAGCTCCCTGCAGGAACAGATGGCTGACGACACTCAAACATTAATATTTACAGCCTATGGGGGAGACACTGAGGAGGCGTATCTATGGTGAGCTTAAAGGGACAAAAAAGCAGGAGATTAGCGCGTTCATGCTGACAGGTTCATGCTTCTTATTTTGTGTTACATAATGACGTGTTGGATACAAATTATCATTAACATTAAAAACACACAATAAGACCAACTAACTAACCATTTGAGGCAGCAGCTCATTTTGTTCTGTGACATAAAACTACAGTTTTTATCAATGGAGTCTGTGGTGATGGTTAAAAAGTTATCTTCCTCAGTCTGTAGGGATTCTTTCTGTGATGTTGTCAGACACAATCTGAGCCAGAACCATGACATGAACCATGATTGGACTCCCTGTGATCTATCAAGGATCATGTTGCAGACATCACAGCCTGTTTCACTGCTGCAGGCTGAAGACGTCTACTTGAGACAATCAAAATCTTTGCGACCATTTTAATCATTTAGAACCCAAAATGTCTAAAATAAAAAGATGACTTTGGTGTTTAAAAGTTCAGGGAGACACTTCTGTTTTAGTCTTTGTTCAACTGGTGAGACTCTCTGCCTCCACCTGTACCGTGTGTGCTCAACCCCCCCTGAATAAATCCAATCATTTAAACATCTTTGTGTGTCTGCAGTGTCTGGAGCGAGCCATGAAGTTTTCTTTCAACGAGTTCCACCTCTGGCACCAGCTGGGCCTGTCACTCATGGCGGCGGGGAAGGTGAGCTCATTTTCTCCTTAAATATCAGCCCAAGACACACACACACACACCATGACACACTTAGACACACCCAAAGGAGACATCAATCAGCTGCAGCCTCAGCTCTGTCTAACAGGACATTTAACTTTGCTATTAGGTAAATTTTTTCTTCTCCAAAAAACAATCGTTAGTTTACCCTGCCAAATGAAGTTAAATCGTTTTGATTTCTTTTGCCAAATGGGAATCCTCAACAGAAGCTGAAATAGCTGACATTCCCGTGTGTGTACGTGTGTGTGTGTGTGTGGGACACATTGATCCTTGCTGCAGGATAAAGTGACACTGCAGATCAATGGAGTGCTCTAGAAATAGTCTGCTGCTCCGTAGAAGGAGAAGGGGCTGCCTCAGCGTTGTCACATCCGATTCTATTTAGGACCAAGCCACTGAATGTGTGTGTGTGTGTGTGTGTGTGTGTGTGTGTGTGGTGTGTGTGTGTTTGTGCATGTGTGTGTGTGTGTGTGCATGCATGTAGGCATGCATGTGGTCCATTAATGATTGGCCTACATGTATTAAGTGACTGTGTGTCTAAATGGGTCTGTTAGGGCTGTGTAAGGACAGATGATGCGTGTTTCATTCACTCGCTTACACTTGATTCAATTTCATCAGTCTGCTGCGTGCATATCATTCATAGTGTGTGTGTCTGTGTGTCTGTGTGTGTGTCTGTGTGTGTGTGTGTGTCTGTGTGTGTGTTACAGGGCGTCGGTGCGGTGTCTGTATTTAAAGAATGCAGCAGGATGAGACCAGAGGATCCGTCTTTGCCCCTATTGGCTGCTAAAGTCTGCATTGGTCAACTGCACTGGGTGATTACACACAAAACATTTACACACACACACGTACACAAAACTACACACACACACACACACACACCTGTAGAGAGAGAGAGAGAGAGAGAGAGAGAGAGATGCTGATTAATAAGATGGCCTCATATTAACCCCTTATGCTTTCACTGCTGCTGCTCTGATGTTTCTGATTCATGTTTTTGCAGAGAAACTTGTTGATCTTTAGGTGTAGTTCTGATGACTTCCTGTAGGTGGAGCTGTTCTCCTGTTTGTTCAGCTCTGTGCTGCTCTGATAACTCCTCTATTTGGAGAGTAGATACAGTCGAACAACATCCATTTGATGTTAGATGATCTGAATAATAAATGAAACACTTTCGAAAGAACGACCATGAAATTTGGCATAAAAATTCAACTATCCCTTCAGGTGATTCACAAGTAATTCGCTGCTCCTCTGGCTTTTCACACAGCACTGACTTCAGGTCGACATTTAAATTAGTCAACATACATGAACACATGACACTCTCGTTAGCATTAGCCATTCTTTGTGGTTAGTGCTTGGTAATTAGAAAGTGTTAGCATGCTAACATGCAAAAGTGTAATGTGGTAACATAGGCTGATAAGAAGTGGATAAAGCTTCCTGTTTAAAAAGTGAGGTAAGTGTGTCGTAAACCTGCACGCTTTCTAATGGCCAGCAGGGGGCGACTCCCAGTAGGTCTGATTGTGTAGAGGTCTCTGAGTTCATGGTGCTACATGTCAGTTGATTTAATTCCTCGGTAAACATTTTCCTCATGACTTAATGGTCTCACTCTGCACTGGTGTGAAAAGCTGTCAATCAAACCCTGGTGTTAACCAAACATCGCCACAGAGACTCTTTTTTTCTGACTCTGGTGGTGCGGTATTTTTGTAGCCGTGCCTGCAGTGCCTACAATTCCCAGGATGCATTTCAGTCGTTGGCTCAGTTTCCTGCATTTCTTTACCTGTAAAATCTGGAGCAAATAAATGTTTCTGGACACAACCAACAATCTGTAAACTGTCTCACCGCTCTTTTTTGAAAGTTAAACCGCCTGGAGACCTTGAAGGTGGAGACTAAACGCTGAAGTATTTGAAGTTCTTCAGGTGCTCAAACTATGTCAAATGACGGAGGCTGTTGATGGAGAAAAATAATAATTTTTGAGCTGCAGAGAAAGAGAGCTACACAGAAGCAGTACTCGTTGCACTGGTCGCAGGTTCCTCTCCAGGTCGTTATGCTATTTTGTGCATCCCGGACTCTCTCTACCCATATTCCCTCTTAATCTTCGGCTCACTAATAAGTAATCTTAAAGGTAGAGGAGAGTGAAATGATAAAGTGACCTTACTATATGATCACACATTAAGGAAACATGCTATGTTGAAGTGCTGGCTTCTCTAACAACAATGCAGCAGCCAGTATGTCCTCCTTCTAACTTTAGATTCTGGTCCTGAATGCTCTGGATTTGTTTGGACCAGAGAAGGTAGGCGCTTTTAAGGAACCCCCCGCTCTGCCGTTTTGGACGCCCCTCAGTTGCCAGATATGAGACCAGTTATCAGGTTGAACTGGTTCAGATAGAAGTGATTGTACCCGACCTAAAAAGCCTCTGCATGTTTCTAATAAGCTCCACGAGCAGAAACGTGCTCAAACTAGGATCAATATTGGAGATGCTTTTGAAAAATGGAGAGAGGTTAGAACACAGAAAGGTTTACAGACCGATGCAGAGCTGGATAAACACTGAAGCTTCAGTGTCCACCACATGGTGACCTGTGTGAGCATCTACTCTAGAGAGGAGGGGGGCGGGGCAGAGACAGCTCTCTTCAATGTTTTGAATTTGGACTGCAGTACCCATTTTAAACAGTAGGTGTCAGAGTTACATATTGCTCCTTTAAAAATAAGGGTGACTATGGGCTACGTTTTTACTTCCAGGGGTCACTATAGGAAGATTTCATTTAAAACACCCATCCATTTATGTCAACACAAAGTGCACGTAAAGGTTGGTTACAGACATGGATCTATTTTTCATCTGGAATAAAAGAGATGCAAAACAAATCTATATTGTGATGTAGTATTGGGTTCAGTCAGTTTAGTAAGCCATGCATGTTCACTTTCATGGAGTTCAATCTGCCTCCTCATAAAATGATAAGCTGAAAGGTAGAGTCAGGTCTACATGCAGCGCAGCTGAAACGCAGCCGCTCTGTGTCGCTAATGTTTGAGGATTGACTCTGAGGTCACTGAGGCAGAGTGAAAGGTCCTGCTCCATCCTGCTGATCAGGATGGAGAGGGTGACATCATGAAGGGAGGGAGGATGGATGGGTGAGGGCGAGACAAACAGAGGGAGAGAGAGAGAAAGGGGTCAGAGATTAGGAGAGAGGAGGTAACGGGGCGAATGGATAGAGCACATCTGTCAAAGGCTGGAGATCATGGCAGGCCGGAGACACTAAGGAGCTTACAGCCTTAATCACAATGGGACTCTACGGCCACAGTGCAGCGGGGCATTACAGAAATGGGCCACCATTATCCACCATCAGCCCCACCAGACAGTTAGCACCATAATCCACCCAGCAACATTGTTATGTCTTTTCATTGTGTTTCGGCTGCAAGTACAGAAAATGTAAAGGCCAAAACTGAGGTTCTTATTCTGCACTCTGAAGTTAAGAGAAGGAAGTCACAATTTCAACATTAAAGGGAAAATGCCCCCCCCCCCCCCTCCCCCCCCCCTTGTAAACAAAGTGTTTCTGCAGTGTGCTGTCGATCTCCTCGTCTGACTCCGACCCGCTGACAGCACACACAACTATAAAAATAACTTTACATACACACACACACATTAACCATCTTCTTTATGATGGTGTGGTTGGTTTTTGTAGCTCATGTAGAAACATCAGGATTAATTTCAGACTCTTGAATAACCAAATAAAATCTCCTCACAGGAGCTTTAATGCTTTAGAAAATAGTCAGCCTATTTTATTTCCCTTTGCTTCTTCTAACACTCATAATGTTTTGGAACAGTGAACGATAGCAGATAACATGAAGCCCTCTGCTGACTCGTCACATCTCTGCTAACTGTACCCTCTGAGAGCAGAGCTGCTTTTTGAAAATTCCTTGAGAGCAGTTTTGCAGATGCGAGGTTTCCAAGCGACATCAGCGACGAGTTCTTCTTTCACACCATTCAACAAGAAGAAGAAAACCCTGATCCTCCACGGATGTGCACGGACGCACTGTGTGTTTAAATGGCTGCTATTGTGTGCAGGCTTTGAACTGAGGATTCACAGAAAGAGACACACGGAGAGAGGAGGAGGAGGAGGATGAAGGGAGGTATGAAGAGGAGGAGGGTGTCAGAGCAGTTGGCATGCTGTCAAAGACATAACCCCCCCTCTCGCCCACCTACCCACCTGCCCCCCCGCCCTCCACCAGTCATACCTCACACACTCTGACACACTTTCTCCTCGGCTCAGTTCGGCCACACACACCGCCTGCAGTCTGCTGTGTGTGTGTGGGCGAGCGAGTGTGTGTGTGTGTCCTTCAGCAAACTCTGCGTCGTCCTTCAGCTGAATCTACTCTGACTGTCCTCACACTAAACTCACAGCACGCTCAGACATCAAGACTCCATTCCCTGCTGCACCTCACACACACACTTTCCTCTCCGCACACACACACACACACACACACACACACACACACTCATGCTGCAGAAGAAGCTGCAGGTCCCTTTAACAGAACTGCAGCACAAAACCATAGAAGTAAATGAAAAAGGATGTAGCCACCTAGACGTCATCTGTTGGTTTTTAGCAGCCACGAATATACCATTTGCGGCCAACAAATGTTTTTTTCTGAACCATATTTGGACAAGAGGTGGAGCTAGCTAACACAAGCTAAGCTAGTAAAGTGCATCTGGTAGTCACTGTGAATGTGATTTTTATCAGGATGTTAATTTTAGCAAGCAAAAGCAGGTCTTCAAAACAATCGCAACGACAACCAGGGCCTGATGTGCCAAATACTACAGTTCCTCCAGTGTCCACTAGAGTCTGTCTCCTATAGTGAGTCAGTCCCCATAGAGCTCCATGTTAAAATAAACATGTTTACAGTCTGGTATAAAAACAGTTTGGGTCTCTAGAGCTCATTTCTCTCTTCAACTGTACGGGCTGAATGTTTATACAACTCACCTGTTTACATTATATTGAGGCTTAAAGGGATTTATTATAAGGGGGCGTGGCCTCTTTGAGTGACAGATGGGAGCTGCTAGCTGTCTGCTAGGTGTCACCTCGTGCCAGGAGCTGTTTTCAGCAGGTCGTGAATGTGTGCCTAGAAATAAAATACTGTAGTTACTTACAGGTAAAACAAGCTCAGGCAGAGTACCTAGTACTAAAACGTTACCATTAAATGTCTGTTTGCAAGTTAGACAGTGTGCAGGAGTTTACCTGTAAGGTTTGATGGACACATTACTCTTCCACACACCTGTCTTATGAGATAGATGTGTGACAGATTTTTATTTGGTTTTGGACCGTCCGAGGTCCAAACTTTACATTTTATTCATTAAATAACTTTGACTTTATACTGAAATTATACAAAATGTGGGTCATGATCTTTCATGGTGAAGTTGATGTTGGATCCTGAGGCTATACTAGTTGAGTACAATTGCTTTAGAAGTTCATTAAGTACGTTTGTGTGTGTGTGTGTGTGCAGTTTGAGGAGGCTGAGGCCCTGTCAAAGACTGTGATGTCGATGGGAGAAGAAGCCAGGGAGTTTTTACCGAGAGCTTACCTGTCTCTGGGACTGAGCTGCAGTCTGCAGGCCTCTGACGGTAAGAGGAAATAAAAGCAACACAAAGATTAAAATAACAAGAACGTCCTCTCCCTCGGCTCACAAAGTAGTCCTCTTGAAATGCTTAAAAAAATACTAGAAAAAGGAGAGAGGAAAACATGTAGGTTTTGGTTTATCTTTTCTTGAATATGACCTTTGCTTCTACACTTAATGCTAAGCTAAGCCAGCGGTCTCTGTTGTATGAGTTCTCTCATCAAGAAAGCAAACACTTGTCTCTTTTCAGATGCAAAGACTAGTGACACCCACTTTGTTTTATCTGATTGATTGAGTGTAACCTGACTGAGTAAACGCTTCATTGTCTCTCTCTGCAGCCACTCTGAAAGCCGACCGCGATGAATTCAACAAACGAGCTCTACAAGCTTTGAACAAGTATGTTTCTATGTTTCAATGTTTTCATTGCGTGTTTTTATTTGTCTTACTTTTGCATTTTGTTTTATAGCCATGCTAGCAAACAACTGTTAGGGTAAAGAAAAAAAAGGAAAGTTGAAGTAAATAAATAAATAAATGGCATTTTTCAGCGTTGAATGAGCCGACACTCTGACGTGTTTATGTTTTAGTACTTCTCTACGTCAAAGAGAAACTAGTGAAATCGTAAACAAATTATTTTTGGCCACAGATCTGCTGTTTTTTGGACATTCTGACAGAGAAAGTTTACCTGTCTAGACGACATTACATGAAGCAGCAGGTGCTCTCTCTCTCTCTCTCTCTCTCTCTCTCTCTCTCTCCTGCACAGAGCGCACTCCTTAGATCCTCAGGACGCTCAGATCGCCATGTACCTGTCTCTGCAGCTGGCTCTCGTACGACAGGTAAACTAAAGGGAAACATTTGGATTTGATTAGTTTTTTAGAAAACACTGCAGGTTGTAAGTGTTACCTGAGCTGTGTCTGGCAGGTGTCAGCGGCCCTGGAGCCCCTGCAGGCGGCCCTGTCTCTGCGAGGGGACGACGTTCACTCGCTCCACCTGCTGACGCTGCTGCTGAGCGCCCAGAAACACCACCGTCATGCTATGGACACCATGAACCTGGCCCTCAGCCAGCACCCTGGAAACTTCAAGTAAGGCCCCCCTGAACCCGCCCACTCACACACAGAAAACCTGTTGGAGGAAGTGTTGGTGAAATGAGGATAAAGACCTGATTAATTGATAACAGAACACTGAATACACTGAATATTCACTTTTTACACTTTGTTTCTATGTGTCAGAGAAGCTTGAGATAGAGCAGAGAGACCTGGACCTGACACCAGTCCTCTCCAGGGATTGGGTGTCTCACACACACACACACACACACACACACACACACACACACACACACACTCTTGACGCCTTATTTAGCCGTGCCGGAGGGGAGGCCTGCATTGCGGTTTCTCTTCCCCTCGTACACTCTTACCTTTTTAACACTGCAGCTCTGACCCGAGCCTGAGCGCTGCCCTCCCCGCTGATAAGAGACTGAGTCTGAAAAACGATCTACCCTCTGTGCTGCTCTAAAACGGTTATAGTACTTTTTAAGAAATGGCAGTGTGATCTTTGAAGGGCAGGCAGGGATTCAGTGATCCGATGTGGAATCGAACCTTTTTGGCTTTAGGAAGTAATCTGAGGAAATGCATGATAAACTGAAAAACTTCAACTTAAAGATCATCCCAGTAGAAGGCCCGGACTCTTTTACTAGCCTGGTGTTGCTGCACGTTTTGACAAATAAAGGCTGGACAAGATTAGAGGCCCCCGCTGCATTTAGTGTTGATTAGTTTGCAGATCAAAAACAAGGACTGTCTACAATGAGTGAGAAGCTCGCTTGCGCTTGTGCGTGATTGACAGGCGGGTGCAACGTTAAGAGGCTTAAGAGTGGTTAGGTTGACTGAAAGTTAGACTGAGACAGCATTTCCAGCATGGAGACCGCCATCGATGGGACTCGAAAGCCCCCTGCAGGAACAGACAGGTGACCTCACTCAGTCTTCATCCATTAATATTCACAGTCAAACACAGGAGTTGTTGGTTTACTGCTGCCTGGATTGGTTAGTTTTCTTGTGTTATAGTGTAATTTGAATTAACTATGCAGAATATGTTTCAGTTTTTATGTCAAGAGAGTGATGTAACATCTGTTTCTGGTCATATTCCTCTGAAAGGATCCTTTCTGAGAAGTCAGAATAACAATCTGAGCCTGTCCAACAACTTTTAGTGGACGCACTTTGACCGATTTAGGATTATGTTGCAGCCATTACAGCCTGTCTCACTGCTGCAGGCTGAAGAGATCTACTGGAGACGTGCAGAAACTTAAAAAAAAAAAGGTTAAGGACTATAAATAAAGGAATTCCCCTTTAAGCCAGTAAACAGAAGTCTCAGCCAAAATCCTCGTTTGAAGATCGTCTCATTATCTCAGAGGAACAATCCCAGTCAGTCCTCCTTCAAAACACACTCATTAGCAGCACAGGAAGCCCAATTGTATCACCAGAGAATCAACACTAGCAATTCAGCCCGGTTTCCTCTCTCTGACCATAATATGGGAGCATGTTGCATCATCTTCGGGATGTGTTTTCTCCCCATTACAAAGCCCAGCAAAGCATTTCATGATGCAGCCATGTGGGGTCACTGTTGGCCTCCACGGTCCCAGCACAGATGGACGGGGTGCATCCATACATCGGGAGGGAGAGGGAGGGAGGGAGGGAAGGCAGAAAAACAAGAGAAGTGATGAAACAGAGAAGGGAAGGAAACACAGAGACAGAGTGGGAGGACGGAGGACAGACGATGGTTTTATAATTACGCCAGCTTCACTCATCACTGCTGTGTACAGATGAGGAAATCAGCTCTCTCTTTGTAAACACACACACACACACACACACACACACACACACACACACACACACACACACACACATCCTCCGTGGAGACACTTGACTGCTTTGACCCATTTAAGAGCTCCTTTCCGGGCTCAGCCAATCACATTGCTCTCTGCGCCAGGAATCCCCATCGCCCCGGTAACCATGAGGTCATATGGGTAGAGCATCAGTTGTTGTTCCAAAACTGTTGTTATGGAGCGAGAGAGCGAGAGAGAGAGAGAGAGAGACAGAGAGAGAGAGAGAGAGAGAGAGAGAGAGAGGGCAGTTTACTGACTGAATTTTCTCTGAAGGTCCCATTAATAGTATCACAGATTTATTGATCTCATATCTAATGAAAGTAATAATCACTGACTCGTCTGACAGGCCCGTGTGGTGTATTAGAGCGGAGCTTACTGAAAGGTGAAGTGAGTCCTGCACACACCTGATGTGTGAGCTCTAGCGTGACCTGGCCTGGTTCATTTGGGCCTCAGCTAACTCTAATTAGCTCCCCTCAGCCTCTCTCTCAAACGGCTGCTGACAGTGCTGCAGCGAGAACGTGTGGAGGGATGGCCCTTTTTTTATTTCTGCAAAACTCGACCCGTACGAAGGCAACTCAACGATGCAGATGGACACAAATGTTTGCCGGACAACTAAGGTACGATGGAGACACTATGCCTTGAGAGCCAATCAGAGTTGAGATTCTTCTGAGATGGAATCACAATGTATGGATCAGAGCCAGGGCTGCTCGATTGTGGCAGAAATCATAATCACGATTAATTTAAATGATAATGAGATAACGATTATTAAACACGACTGCTTATTTATTTTACAACATCTGCATCATGTGCATGAATCAAACACTACACTACCAAGACCGGTTTTCAAGACCACTTTTTGAAGGTCTCGATCACGTCTCGGAGTCACTCGGTCTTGTCTCATCCTTAGACAGGAAGGACTCAAGATTTTAAATAGAGACCACTACTGACAAGCTTTTTTCCATCACTGTGATTAGAAGTAAAAATGTCTCTTTCTAAAAGAACAAATAATTTCAATTCATTTGTAGTTTATTTTTTTTCCCATGGTTACGGCCACAACCTTTCCAGTGTTAAAGACTAAGTGAGTGACACGCCCCCCTGCACACAAGATGATGACGTTTCAGTGATATTTATGGTCTCAGTCTCGGTCTCACCCTGCCTTGGTCTTGGTCTTGGTCTTGGTCTTGGTCTTGGTCTTGGTCTTGGTCTTGGTCTTGGTCTTGTCTCTGTCTTGAAACACTCTGGTCTCAGTTAGTGTGGTCTTGACTACAACACTACTCTAAACAAGCAACACATGAATATTAAGTACGTTTTTGAGGTAGTGGTGAGGTACTCTTGTGACCAAAAAATAAAAACAAACACATTAAAACATTTAGCACACGGGACAAAAACCTTTGGACCAAATGAGCGCAACACGGCGTGCTGCACAGTTAACGTTTAATCTTGATTATCTTGTTTTCATGATTGTGGGAAGCCAAAACTGTAACTGTAATTGAAACTGGAGTCATTGCCCAGCCCTTATCAGAACTCTTAAAAAAAACAAACAAGCATTTTAAAAGCTGTGTGATCTCAGCTCTCGGGAATTGTGGCCATAAAGTCAAACTAGTGCAAGGCAAGAAACAACAGAACACAATGACTACATTCTGGTTGTGATACATTTTATGTTTCATGACAATATGAGCTATCTAGAAAGTTGAATCCTGTAAAGGACAAACTTCTCTCCTGCAGAGTTTCCAGTTATCATGAATAGAGATTAAAAAAAGTGTTTTTTAAAGTTCCCCCTGAAAGCCCCTCAGAGATGTTTGATTTTTAATATTCCTGATTTCTTTAACAAAGGGAGCTAAGGCGAGACTTGTCATCAGATATTGATTGCCAACAGCTCTGAGGATCTGTGAGTTGACACTTGTTATCAGATCGACCATGACGGATGATGATGTGAGGTATAAACCGCCTCTTAAACACAAACACAGAATGACCCGTAGCTGCTTGCTAGCTGTGCATCATTAGGGAGGAAAATTATTATTGAGAAAGCACTCAACGTCCCTGAGTGCAGAATGAGCAAACACAATGTGACCCAAATCCATAAATGTGGTGCCGAACAAAAACCAAACCAACTGATTTCAGGTTTTAAGACTGAGTGCTTGTGTTGGGGCGGCTGTGGCTCAGTGGTAGAGTGGGTCGTCTCTCAACCGGAAGGTCGGGGTCTTTTTGATCCCCCACTCCTGTAGCCACATGTCCGATCAATCAGTCATTATTTGTAAAGCGCCAATTCACAACAAGTGTTATCTCAAGACGCTTAACAATGGGATTCAATGCAGGAAGGATTTCTCCTTGTATTCCTTGCGCTCCAGTTGTCAACACTTCCTTGCAGCTGAGGTGGAGCTGTCTCCTTTGGCTAGACACTTAACCCCAAGTTTCTCCCGCTGCTTTGTCTGCAGTGTATGAATGGGATTAGTTATTTCTGATGGACTCTTTACTCAGCAGCCTCTACCATCAGTGTGTGAATGTGTAGGTGTGACCTGCAGTGTAAAAGAGCTTTGAGTAGACTAGAAAAGAAATATACAAGCTCAAGTCCATTTTCATTTAAGAAAAGTTCAGTGTATAACTTCATCAGTCTGGTGTCTGATCTTTGTTGATGTCAATTGAAAATCTTCATCTGTGCAGGTGTATTCAGACGGCTAACCCGAATAAAGAACTTTACATTTTCACATTATTTAACATCATAGTGCAGAACATCTTCATGTGCTGCAGACAATGTTTAGAGGAATATGGACAATATGGAACCAGAGAGCCCTCTGGTGGACAAATTAGGTGATGACACCGTTTTGTAATCACCTCAAGCGTTGTTTTCTGTTTTATGCTCTGTAAAAAAAGATAAACCATCATCACGTATAAGAAAATAAACAGCGCACAGATATATTTGTGATTAGCTCATCTCAGCCTCTGTCATGAACACTTACTTTTGATAACCAACAGTAGGCCCCTAATGCAATCTCAACCTGTACAATGCACATGAAGAATAATCCAAATCTGACCAGAGGATGTGGATTCACTCTGGATGTTCTGGGCTGCAGAGAAACTTGTGTTTTCTCTGTAACGAGCTCACTGAATAACAGTTTGCTTTGCAGCGAGCTTCACACATCAAAGCTTGTATCAGGCATGTTTTAGAGAATGCGTGTGTGTGTGTGTGTGTGTGTTGTGGGGGTGGGG